GAACACTTTATCTTTTTGTGTTGAGGAAATTCAGCTTCCAAGGCACAAGATGGAAACTGTCTGTCCGTTGCACAACTTGTCTGGAGAGACAGTAAAATAGGTTAGTGGTCGCTTTCTGTCTGAATACCTATAGAGAATTTAGTGATGGAATTCCTCAAATCTATGGAGGATCCACCACACTACAGCCCCGAGGGGATATAAACATATAATTAACAGGGGAATCGTGCTGAGTAGAGCCATTTAAAATGACAAGGTTAAAATGGGAACAAAGATCAGCTAAGAAACGGCCTGACTGGTTGACAGTGGGGTCTTTAGACTGTTTAATACATAAAAAAGGGAAAGGGGTATTGGCATCATCATCATCCCAATGCAAAAACTCAGCTATCTGATTGTTATTAGAGCCAAGTCTTGCATTAAAATCCCCCATGACAAGGGAAGCAACTTCAGGATATTTGTTAAAAAGCATATTGTTGTTGTTGTGGTTATTCAAATACATTTTCAAAGAATCCCATTGAGCTTTAGAGGTGTTAAACTCAGAGAGAGGAGGCATACAGACATTGACTAATATGAACTGAAAATTCCTAAGGGAAAGGAAAAAAGCTTGAGCAAGGTGGGACATGAATCCAATTGAAGAATAAAAAAATTATTAAACAAACAACAAAGGCGACCCATAGAATGGCCCATCCGGTTCGGTTTCAAGGCAGGTAAAAAATAAGAAGAATAACCATTAATTAAAATACCACTGGAAAACCAGGTCTCTTGGAAAAGAATTATGTTGAGCTTCTTAAGAAACTTCATTAAATATTGCCACGTCCTGCAATATTCCAAGAAATAAGTTGGATTGTCTGTCTCTGAGGACATCCCTGAGGGCCATTAGGCAAAGTTAGTCAATCAGATTCAACAATTAAATTCAAGGACTTATCGTGTTCCGGGCAGACCCAGCCGTTTGATGCTGCTTGGAGACGAGGTGGGGGAATCTTGGGAGGCTTCTGAGCCAAGGGCTCTTCCACAACATCTGACAGGAGTTCTACTGCTGTAACATCAACTATACCCTCAGTTCTGGGTATCTGGTCATCACTCTGTGAAACAATAATTTCTTTACGTTCCTTATGAGGAATTTCTTTACTAGTCACAAAAATCCTCAGGTCATTAGAAGCCTCCGATGGACTGACTGCACTAGATTTTTTTGGATTTTAGGGTTAGCAGAAGGTTGAAGCTCCAAGTCTTTGATCTCATGAAGTTTAAGACTCATAGACATTAACCTGTCAATGATAGACTGTTGAGCTTCACCAGAAAGATTTCCAAAGGAGGTAAATAGATCATCTTCCAAGGCATTTGTCAAAAGTTCGGGAGTCAGGGGATCACTAGAAGCTAGAGGAGTCGGGGAATCTGTAGGGCAAGCCAGAACAGAGCAGAGTTCAGTGGTAGTTTGAAGGTTCGTCTCAGGATCATGCACTTCATTCCCAGCTAACCCTAACCCTTTCCTCTTAAAAATCAAAGATGGCAATTTAGAGCAAGAAAAAGTAAGGATGACTCTTTGAGTTTGTATTTGAGAACTGAGAACATCAACCTCAATCAAGTCAATCCCCAAATATTTAATATTAAGTATAACAGAAAGATGCTTCTTTGAATACTGAACACTACGCCAGCTTGGCCAAAGGCCATGTTGCCCACAGATAGTTAGCCAGATCTTCCTTGGCTGATAAACTAGATGGAAAAAATTATTCCTTCAGGGTTCCACAGAGGCTGGAGCTTGCACATGTGATTCCTTAGAAGCACAGTCATTTTCCTTCCAGTTTTCACTGCTTGGCCTTGAGGGGAGCCAATGGAAGGCTTGGGAACCTCTGATGAAGCTAGACCTTTAATTTGAGATTTCAAATCCTGAATGCTCTCAAACAGGCATTTCACAGTTCTTGCCATTAAGGATAGCAAGGAGCTCCCTGTCGACATTCCACTAACTTCAGTAGTAAAATCTGTAGCCAGTTGCCACACTCCTTCCTTCCTTCAGTGCAGAGTCCTCAGCCCAGGAGCTCTCACCTTCCTCACAGCTGGACTCAAGCAGAGAAAAACGGTTTGAAGTCTCCGCTGCAAAGGTAAGGGGACAGTTCTTGTTCGAACTGCTATCTATACCTCCAGAAGAAAGAAAGAAGTCCCCAATTTTGGACTGTTTAGAAACTGTCAATGAGGCTATCTCCTCTAATTCTCTTGCCAGACGGCACAGTAAACAAATAACAGGAACCCTCTTTAAATTAACAGGTTTAGATGGGAGAGAAGGAGAGAGTTCAAACAACTTCCAAACAACTCCCTCAAATCAGCTGGAGGGGACTCTCAGTTTGTTTATCATTCAGTTTAACACTCCACACCTGGAGGGGACTCTCAGTTTGTTTATCATTCAGTTTAACACTCCACACCATGTAAAAAGGTCCTTTATTCCAGCATTTATCCTGTCTGCCTAATAGCAAGGCCAAAAACTAAAAGGCACAAAAATAGGGAAGCACAGCAATAATTCAAGTACTCTCTTTCCCCCAAACAGGGTTCTTGAGAGACAACTAGCGAGATATGCCCAGCTAGTTTACAAAATAAAAAGTAAAAGCTTTGAAACCTTTCCAGAAGCTGGGAGCTCATTTACAAAGCGTCCTTTGGTGAGCTGGCCAGAAGACCGAACCCTGAGAGAGAAACTTATTAAGAAAATATATGGTATGCTGATGCAATTGAAAACGCAGGATGAAATAGTTAAAGAATGTATGGTCAAATGGATGCAAAATGTAGGTTACAACATAGATTTGTTATAATGGAGTAAAATATGGAATGTGAATATTAAGTGGACTAAATCTGTTCCATTTAAAGAAAATCTATATAAAATGTTCTATAGATGGCACCTAAGCCCAGATAGGTTAGCCAAAATGTATAAAAACTTGAGTAACAAATGTTGGAAATTTAACAATCATGTTGGATCATACTATCATATGTGGTGGACATGTAAAAAGGTTAATAAATATTGGATTGGAGTACATATGCACTTACAGTCAGTGTAGAATATTACAATACCTTTTAAACCAGAGATATTTCTGTTAAACTGTTTACCAGATGACTTAGATAAGAACCATAGATAGTTTATTATACATGTTATAACAGCAGCCAGAATTTTATTTGCAACGACATGGAGGACATTGAAACCCCCCCAACGCTTTATGAGTTAATAAGGAAGATTATAGATTGTGCTGAAATGGACAAATTGACAAATATATTAAAAGGAGAAATGGAAGAATTTATGGGACCATGGAGGGCCTTTCATGACTGGCTAAGACACAAGTACTGAGAAATTAAGATTAAATGAAGAACAATAAGAATGATGGTTATAAGCTTTTATGAGAATACTTGCATGCAGAATGTTAGACATTTTAAATAGATCTGATTCTTTTCCTTTTCCTTCTTTTCCCTTTCCCTCTTTCTAGGTATAAACTAATAAAATTCTTTATACAAAAAAAAGAAAAAAAGCAACTGCCAAAATGGCTATCTCTCCTGATGAAGACTATTCTCCTGCTTGGCTCCTGTGGGGCTAACTTTTTCCTCAGTGGCTGTTACTACACAACCAAGGTTAGTTCTGTCAGTAAAAATGCAAAGTCAGGAGGCCCTTTCTAGGTCTTTGTGGGGAACTCATTGGGGCCAATCCTGACTAGGGTTGCCAGCTCCAGGTTCGGAAATTCCTGGAGATTTTGTAGTGGAGATTATGGAGGCCAGGGTTTGCGGAGGGGAGAGGCCTCAGCTGAATAAAATCCCATAGAGTCCACCCTCCAAAACAGTTATTTTCTCCTGGGGAACCATTGCGGCCATTCTCCAGGTAAGGGCTGGAGATCACTCAGAATTACAACTGCTCTTCAGAGTGGACTCTGCATCATTATACCCAGCTGAGGTCACTTCCCTCCTGTTTCGGTCCCCACTGTGGAGTAAGACTGTATTTTTCCTAGGTAGAGGCTGCAGTTAGTGGGGGGGGGAGATGAAAAGCTGAAGTCAGAGGGGCAGATAAAGGTAGGTTGATGATTGGCTGGGAAGGATAGGATTACCAACTCCAGGTTGGGAAAATCCTGGAGATCTGAGGGATGGAGCCTGGAGAAGTTGGGGTTTGAGGAGGGGTGGGACCTCAGACAGGTACAAGGCCATAGACTCCACCCTCCAAACCAGCCAATTTTTCCGGGAAACCATTGATGCCATTTACCAGGTGAGGGCTGGAGATCACTCAGAATTACAACTGCTCTCCAGATGGCAGAGCTCAGTCTCCCTAGAGAAAACAGCTGCTTTGCACAGTGGACTGTGTTTCATTATACCTTGCTGAGGTCACTTCCCTCCTGCTTGGGTCTCTGTTGTGGAGAAAGACTGTACTTTTCCTAGGTAGAGACTCCAGGTAGTGGTGGGAAGATGGAAAGCTGAAGTCAGAGGGACAGATAAAGATAGGTTAATGGTTGGATGGGAAGGAGATAGGGTTGCCGCCTCCAGGTTGGAAAATTCCTGGAGATTCGAGGGGTGGATCCTAGAGAGGGTGGTGTTTGAGGAGGGGTGGGACCTTAGACAGGTACAATGCCATAGACTTCACCCTCCAAACCAGCCATTCGCTCCTGGGGAACATTGTTGCCAATCTCCAGGGGAGGGCTGGAGATGACTCAGAATTACAACTGCTCTTCAGATGGCAGAGATCAGTACCCCTGGAGAATATGTAAACTCTGTGTCATTATTCCTTGCTCAAGTCACAACAGCAAATTGACACTGAGTGCCCAAGGCCAGGGCACCCACTCAGAGCCTCTTTCTAGAGCTCATTGTATTTATTTCCACAACAAGCCTTATTCCTAGTCTAAAATAAAGCTCCAGCAGCTTGCTCCAGCACAACTTCATCATCATCACTGAGAAAGGCCTACGAGTCTGAAATAGCAAGACAAACTCTCTTGAGTTTCCAAAACCTGAAATCCTGCAAACGATCCCAAGAAACTGTAGAGATGTTCACATACCTTGTGCCACTTTCATGATGATCTTCATGAACCGTGTTTGGCAGACCCCACCTTCTCTGTTCTCCAAACCTTCCAAAGACCCATTGGAAGTGGCTGTAGGAAGAGAAATAAATGAAAAAAAACCCATCATGATTGTGCAAGGCTGTAAAAGACACTGAAGCAAAACCTAATGCCTCTGCCCAGAAGACTTACTGTCTACAACGCCGGAAGCTGTTGTCAGAGAACTGACAAGGAATGAAAATACAAGGTTGAGCAGCAGCTCAAAATGGTCAACTCCAGGTGCAATTTAAATAATTTACTATTTAAATTGGGGGGGGGGGAGAGAACAGCTTACTGGATACCACCACGACAACACAAGTGAACATAACTGCACATCAACCCCTTCTGAACAGACAACCAGCAGCCTTTCTGTCCTAGCCCTGTTCAGCTGGAACTGCAACAAGAAGAAAGACAGCTAATAGAACTTTTGAATACATAAACAAGGAAACAGCTGCTGGGGAGTTTGCTGGGCAGGCCTGCAACTGTCTCCTGACCAGGAATCCTCCATCTTGGTGTCTGCCAACTGTACACCTAGAAGCACTGCCTGGAGTAACCTTTGTGTTTTCTTTTAAAGAGGCTGACAGCTACTCTTGGTTGAGCCTCCATTTCCACATGCTGCAGGTGCTTAGTGGCCAACGTGGCCACAGATACCAGCCAAAAGGCTCCTTGCTCTTCACCTGTGGCCTCGATGGACCAACCCCATAGGTCCAAGCCCAGCATGCTTAGTGTGTCATCTGTCCCCGCCCCCCATTTATTCAAATAGTTTATTTCAAATATATTGGTTTGTACTGGGAAGAAAAATGAAGTTGGGTAGCTGTGTTAGTCTGTCTATAGCACTAGATTCCAATGACACCTCAGGTAAAGGTTTCCCTTGCTCGAAAGCCAGTCGAATCCAACTCTAGGGTTGCGGTGCTCATCTCCGATTCAAAGCCGAAGAGCCAGCGCTGTCCAAAGACGTTTCCGTGGTCATGTGGCCAGCATGACTAGACGCCGAAGCATACAGAATGCTGTTACCTTCCCACCGAAGTGGTACCTATTTATCTACTTGCAGTTTCTTGCTTTCGAACTGCTAGGTTGGCAGGAGCTGGGACCAGAGACGGGAGCTCACTCCGTCATGTGGCACTTGGCTCTTGAACTGCTGAACTACCGACCTTCTGGTCAGCAGTTCAGCATCTTAACCACTTGAGCCACCACAGCCACCTTAATGACACCTTAAAGACTAACAAAATTCATGGCAGGTCAGGAGATTTTTTTATAATCTTTTTAATGGTTTTACTATAGTAAACAAAGGTAAATCATATCATTTTATACAACAAAATGTTTCACTAAAGAGAGATCTACATACATTTCAGCACATATTTCTAACAATAACGATAAAGAAAATTTTGTCCACCCCAGATATAAAGTTCATCAGGATTTCATTTCTATTGCTTGTATTCCCTCTATTTTAAAACATTTTCCAGTTTCCTATAAACTGCAGTCAAATAACAAGCTTGAATTTCTTATTTCCTATCTCTTTTCTTTAAACATAATATTTGTCTTTTTCTTCAAATATTTATCCAAAACGTATACCTTATTTCTATTGTCCTACTCTAATCATATCCCGGTACAGTATTTAATCATAACCTGGTAAACCAAGAGAATATACCAAAATAAACAGTTATTTCCTGTTTTTCTTTTCCCTTTATGTCTTTCTATCTCATTTGTCTTCTTATACACAATCTCCTGTTAAAAGTCTTTCTACCGTCTATCTCATTCCCTCCTGTTATTTCTTATTGTTAATTACTTTGAAATTATTTACATTAAAATAATTAATATCTCCTTATTTTAATTATTTAATCACATTTTACCACCCTCTACTAATTATGTTAACAATACAATACAAGTGCAAATAATAATTAGAAGATATCTTTAAACTATAAAGAAAAAACCAAAAACAAGAATCAATTAATTCCATTTTCATCTTAGCCATCCTTTCTTACATTTATCAATTTGGGCAATTATTCTACCATTTAATAGACATTGCCAATTCTGCCATTAGTACACATCACCTATGTCTAATCATTTTGTGTAGTTTATAAAAGATATTAAAAAGTTGCTCACATTGCCTGTTTTCGCTTTGTTTTCCAGAACAACCTTCTCTTCTTGATCATACTTAAGTGTCTTAACTCTTTTAATTCTTGGTAATTTGATTCCCTGTTTTGCTTTTCCTATCTCTTCTATCTTCATTTTTCTTTTATATCTTATACTTTTTCCTGAAGGGCATCTTGCTCCCTTTTTTGGCCACCCTAAACAACTCTCCTTGTGTTAGTTCTCCAGCTCCGCTTTTTGCCAGTCCCACCTCCAAGGAAAGTTTTTTAAGTCTCATTTGTTTTCGTTTTATTTTCCAGAACGACCTTCTCTTACTTGTCTTAATGCTTTATATTTCTGGTAATTTGCGCCCATGTTTAGCTTTTCCTGCCTCTTCTGTTCTGTCTTCATTTCCCTTTTATATTTTATACTTTTTCCTGAAGGGCGTCTTACTCCCTTTTTGGCCACCTTAAATGTCTCTCCTTGCATTAATTCTTCAGCTCCACTTTTTGCCAGTCCCACCTCCAAGGAAAATTTTTTAAGTCTCACTTCTCCGGATATTTGCCCTATGTCTACAAAAGGCATGTCTTGCATCTCCTTATTTTGGTTATAGTTTTGTTCTCTCTTTAAATCCTCTGCACTCCACTGAGACTGTAGTGGTTCCTCTTAGTTTGTACATTCCAAGCCTGTTTTCTGTAGATTCTCAAAAGCATTTTTACAAGCTTTTTCAACTGCCGACCGTATTTCATTGAACAGAAACTTCTTAAATTGTTCCAAAGATAATTGACCAACTTCTGTATTTTCTAAACCCATCTCCTCAATTTGTCCTGCAATTAGTTCCTCGTTCTTCCCTGCCAGCGCCATTTTATTATCTTTTACTCCAAGTCTTTAACTAACCGCATTCCAAAAGTTTGGAGAATCTCCTGTGCAGTTAGCTCAAGGGGTCTTCACTGAGTTATTTAGAAATTATATGCTACTCACGTTCTTGGCTTTGTTGTATATTGTATTGAAAATCCAAAGTTAAAACAGGCGGTCACAGCTAAGAACATGGAAAACCATGTTGTTCCATTCTTTGCTCCCGTGTCAAAACAGCTCAGTCTTGCCCCATTCACCGCCATTTTCAGGGTGCCTGGTCGAGTTTCTTGCTGCCAAACCTCCCTCCAAGAGGCTTGGTGATCCCCCATCGTGTACTAGGACCCTGGGGGTTTCAAAAAGGCGAAGAAGGACGGGGCTGGTCAGGAACGTCCTGACTAAGCACCCGCACGTTGCGCCATGCCTGGAAGCCTCTGCAGGTCAGGAGTTTTTGTGAGTCACTGCTTGCTTCTTCAGATACCCAGGAATCTGAGGAAGTGAGCAGTGACTGGCACACGTAATGCTCTCAAAACTGTATCACCTTCTGTCACACAGTCTTTGACTCTATTTCAAGGGCTAAACTGTGAGAAAATATATTGACCAACAGGCAAGAGATGGTAGATGGTGTGAAGGTGGTGGGGACCTTAGAGGGAAGTGACCATGTCCTGCTAGAATTCCTTTTGCCGTGGGGGACCAAGGAAGTTTGTAGCCACACCTATACGTTAGATTTCAGTAGGGCAGATTTTAATAAACTCAGGGGCATGATGAGAATCATTCCATGGGCAAGACTGCTGAAAGGGAAAGGAGCAAGTGAAGGGTGGGCTCTCCTAAAACAAAAGCTCTTGCAAGCTCAAGCCATTGCTATTCCAACAAGAAGGAAACATGGCAGGGAATCCAAGAAGCCAATGTGGATGAACAGAGAACTCTGTGATGTGCTAAGGGAGAAAAAGGAAATATTCAAAAAAACGGAGACAAGGACATACCTCTAAAGAAACGTGTCTGAGGGATGCTAGGGACTGTAGGTCAGCCATCAGAGAGGCCAAAGCTCACAATGAGCCAAAGCTGGCCAGGGAGGCTCACTACAAGAAACTCTTCTTCAGATATGTGAGGAACAAGTGCAAGATAAAAGAGGTGATGGGCCCACTGTTGGGTGAAAATAGGGAAACTCTGACAGAGGACAGAGGGAAAGCAGGAAGGCTCAATCCCTATTTTGCCTTAGTTTTTTTCCTGTTTTGCCTCAGAAGAGAACAGGCTCATCAAGGGATGGTAGCAGGCAAGGCACAGCATCTGGGCTGCTGGCTGACATGGACAGAGAGGTAGCTGAGAAGCACCTGGCTGCACTGAATGAGTATAAATTCCCTGGGCCAGATGGTGTGCACCTAAGAGTGCTCAAAGAACATTCTAGAGACTTTGCAGAGCCTTTGTCTATCATCTTCCAGACCTCTTGGAGGACGTGAGGTGTGCCACAAGACTGGAAGAGGGCAGATATTATCCCCAAAAGGGAGGAAGGATGACCCAGGAAACTATAGTCCAGTCAGTCTGACCTCTGTCCCAGGGAAGATACTGGAGCAGATTTTAAAGGGATCGATCTGCAAGCATCTAAAGGACAACTTGGAGATCCTGGCAAGTCAGCATGGATTTGTCCCCAATAGGTCCTGCCAGACCAACCTCATTTCCTTCTTTGATCGAGTAATAAGCTTACTAGATTGAGGGAATGCTGTTGATGTTGTTTTCCTGGATTTTAGTAAAGCTTTAAGCAGGATTCCCCTTGGTGTTCTGATGGGTGAACTAAAGGCCTGTGGACTGGATTCTATGATAGGTGGATAGGGAACTTGTTGGATAACTGCACTCAAGAGAGTAGTTGTCAAGGGCATTTCACCTGAATGGAGGAAGGTGTCCAGTGGACTGCCACAGGGCTCGGTTCTGGGCCCGGTACTTTTAAATATTTTTATAAATGATCTGGATGAAGGTGTGAAGGGGCAACTTATTAAATTTGCAGACAACACCAAACTGGGAGAAGCAGCGAACACACCAGAAGATATAGAATTCAATGAAATCTGCACTGGAAAAGTAGGCAGATGTGAACAAGATGCAATTTAACAAGGATAAGTGCCAAGTTCTATGTCTGGGTA